CTTACTCGATTTTTGCAGATTGTGGTTTGGAGATTTCTTCAGAGATCCAATGGGTCAGATGTGCTTGCTACAAAACAAGCATTGTTTTTCATTGTCTTGCTTCAGTATGTTCCAAGACTGCTTCGAGTGTTACCTTTAACTTCGGAACTCAAAAGAACAGCAGGTGTCTTTGCTGAAACTGCGTGGGCAGGTGCTGCGTACTATCTGCTGTTGTACATGCTCGCTAGCCATGTAAGTGGCTATTTGGCTTGGTTACCTTTCTTTTTCCATCTGAATTGTATATATTGTTTGATTGGTCGCTTGCTCAATTGGTCCTTTTTGCCTCTCGTGGTTTCTTACCTTTTGGGCAGAAATTTCAACTGAAGTGCCTCGAATAGTCATATATTGGAGATAACTTTTCTTGGCTAGTCTCATGTTACTGAAATTTCTTATATATTTATGACATAATCATGGATTATTCAATCATCATAATTTTTTTTTCCCGAGGGATCATGATAATGTTTCGAGAACCTATAAAGCTGTTGCATCAAGTTTCATATCAGCTGCAGGTGTACGAGAGAGTCAAAGAATGAAAGTCTTGTCTTTTCATACCTTTCCTTTAGCATGTTTAATTTTTCTCCGCTTAAAATATTTGATATTGTGGAAGAGTCTTGCAGATAGTTGGGGCCTTTTGGTATTTATTAGCTGTGGAACGCAACGATACATGCTGGCAGAGGACCTGCAAGGGGCAGCTTGGATGTGATACAAATTACTTGTATTGTGGCAATCAACGCATGGCAGGTTATGATGATTGGTTCAAAGACGGAAATTCTACTCTCAAGACGAAGTGCTCAGCAAAAGGAGATGATACAGAATTTGATTTTGGAATCTACAAAAATGCTTTGTCATCTGGGATTGTTTCATCGAAGAAGTTTATTTCTAAATACTGTTACTGCCTGTGGTGGGGACTGCAAAATTTAAGGTAATATGTTTTAATGGTGATTTTCAGTGTAAAGTTTTTCTTACATTCTATAAATAATAATAAATAAATAGAAGTGTTTCTAGCATGTTTATGTGGCTTGTTCTGGTGGTGCCGCGTGTTTACTAATCAGGAATTGAATGAATAGGACATAGATTCCAACAAAAAAAAAA